AGGGAAGAAGGCGAAAAAAGCAGGCAAGGACTCTTTGAGGAAGGCGCTGGCCGTTTCCATTACCGAATGTCCCCCTTTGCTAGTAGACCATGCGCTGCATATCGCAAACTTCGATTCGACTCTCAAGCCTGAGGAGGTACTCGCTGATGACAATCTCCTAGGCAGTCTCGTAGAGATCCTACAGAATGCAAGGAACATCACCGACGAGGTCTCGACGCCAGATCAGATCAAGGGCTACATTCTAGCCAAGCCAAACCCATCCGCATCTACGGCCGATGACGAGGCTTCTGAAAAGTCCAAACTTCTCTACGACGATTTCCATCCCTTCCGTCCGCACCAATTTGAAAACTCCGACTATACATTCTTGGAGTTTGATGGTTTCAACAAGGCGGTAGACGAGTTTTTCTCCTCGATAGAAGGACAAAAGCTCGAGTCCAAGTTGACAGAACGCGAACAACAGGCCAAGAAGAAGCTAGAGAAGGCGCGCAAGGAGCATGAAGATCGAATCGGTGGATTGCAGCAAGTGCAGGATCTCAACTTCCGGAAGGCAGAAGCGATATTGGCAAACGTGCATCGTGTTACCGAAGCTACTGAGGCTGTCAACGGATTGATCAGACAAGGCATGGATTGGGTCGATATTGCGCGCTTGATTGAGCGTGAACAAAACTCTGGAAATGCGGTCGCGCAACTCATCAAGTTACCGCTCAAGTTGCACGAGAACACTGTCACGCTGCTACTCGACGAGACTAACTGGGAGGAGGGTCAAGACGATGAAGACGAGGGTAACGAGACAAGCTCTGTCAGTGAGGATACAGAAGACGAGGATGATAAGCCTAAGAAAAAGGCTCCTACCCCGGCCGTGTCCACTCGGCCTCAACTGGCTATCGATATCGACCTAGCTCTGAGTGCATGGGCGAACTCGACCGAATACTTTGATCAGAAGAAGACAGCTGCCGACAAAGAAGATCGCACCCTGCAAGCATCGACCAGAGCGTTGAAGAGCCATGAGAAGAAAGTTGCAGAGGACCTGAAGAAGGGTTTGAAACAAGAGAAAGAGGTACTAAGACCAGTGCGCAAGCAGCAGTGGTTCGAGAAATACATATACTTCATCTCTTCGGATGGCTACTTGGTCCTCGGAGGAAAGGATGCTCAGCAGAACGAAATTATCTACCGACGCTTCTTACGAAAAGGAGATGTATACGTTCATGCAGATATCAAAGGAGCGATGCCAATGATCATCAAGAACAAGCCAGATACTCCAGATGCCCCCATCCCTCCTTCGACACTATCGCAAGCCGGCAACCTCTGCATTTGTACATCTGACGCATGGGACTCAAAGGCTGTCATGTCAGCTTGGTGGGTTCGTAGCGATCAGGTCAGCAAGACTGGACAGACGGGCGAGTTCCTCCCGGCCGGTATGTTCAACGTCAAGGGCAAGAAGGAATTCCTACCACCAGCTCAGCTGGTCGTAGGTCTTGCTGTCATGTTCGAGATCAGCGATTCCAGCAAGGCCAACCACCACAAACATCGCGTGCAAGAGACAGCAGTTTCTGCCGCGGAGATGGTCGACGAGCCCGCGAATGACTCGAAAGCTGCAGACGCGTCCAAGACTGACAACAGTGATGACGAGGATGATTTTCCAGACGCAAAGATTAACTCAGATTCGGAAGACGACTTCCCTGATGCAAAGATGGAACAGACTGAAGAGAGCGACGCTGAATCTGAAGCCGCAGCGCCTAGGAGCAATCCTCTCCAGTCTAGGACTGCAGATGCGAGAGACGACTCAGACGAGGAAGATGAGCTAGCCACCACCAAGGATGGCGACGAGTATGCCATGTCTGGCGGCAAAAATGGTTCTGCTGTGAATGAAGAACCCCAAGAAGACGCAGGCTCGGTAGCAGATACCGAACAGACTGTGAAATCTACTGGAAAGCGACAACTATCTGCACGAGAACGTCGCCTAGCAAGGAAAGGTCAACTCCAAGACTTACCCCAAGTTCCGTCTGACGCTGGGCCTACAGCTGACGGTGCTGGTCAAGAAGAGGATTCTTCAGATGAAGAGGGCAACGCAAAGAGCCCTCCGAAGGCACCCGGTACCGTAACAACGCAGAGTACGAAACCAAAGAATGCTCCCTTGCCCCGAGGCAAACGTGCGAAAGCAAAGAAGCAGGCCGCAAAGTACGCTGCACAGGACGAGGAGGACCGTGAGTTAGCAATGCGTCTCTTGGGTTCCAAGTCTGGGCAGCAGGCTGCGGAGGCTGCCGCTCAAGAAAAGCGTCAGAAAGAAGAGCAGGCGCTGGCTGACAAGCAACGCCGTCGAGACCAACATTTACGTGCGCAAGCCGCAGGCAAGGCTGCTGAAGAAGCTCGTCTACGCGCCTTGGAGAACGCCGAAGAAGACGACGAGGGCGATGAAGTCCTCAAGACGAACTTGCAGAACCTCGACGCATTCACAGGCCGACCATTACCAAATGACGAATTGCTCACCGCCATTCCCGTATGTGCTCCCTGGTCTGCTCTTTCCACCTACAAATACAAAGCCAAGATCCAGCCTGGCTCCACCAAACGAGGTAAAGCCGTCAAAGAGGTCCTCTCTATCTGGGATCATGCCGGAAAGGACGCAAAGATAATCGACAAGAACAGTCAGGACGTCGAGCGTATCTGGCCCAAGGAGATTGAGCTGATCCGAGGGTGGAAAGAGACAGAGGTCGTGGGCGTCGTGCCTGTTAGCAAGGTACGAGTCATGATTGCCGGTGGCCGCCGGGGTGCCGATATTGCGAAGGGAAAGAAGAAGAGTGCGAGAGGCGGCAGAGGCTCGAAGAAGAAGTAGAGGTCAGACGTGGAGCTTTTAGATGGGGCTGGAAATCGTCGTGGTATCATGAATTTTGCTGGAGACTTGAAACTATTGTCGACATCCAGGCCACATCATCTGCTATACAGTCGACGAATCGAACCACAGTCTGTTGAATTTCACTATATCCATCTTTTTCTGCCGAGATTGGTATACTTATCAGTAGTACCTAGTTCGAGCATACCATCCCATCACCACTCAGTAGAACTCACGATGGTCATTTCGCATTAGGCTAGCACCACTAGTCCCTGCATATGACAACCAAGTGACGCCATGACATCGTGCTAAGTAATCTGAACCAAGCTATGTCAATACCATCGAAAGCATCGTACGGATCGACATGCGGGGTTACCGCTTATACTTCTGACGTAAATACAATCCATATCCAATTCGCTACACCAGTCATTCACTCTTACCACACAAGCGCAGTAACAAAATATCACACGATGCCCTCTGAAATCAAACCTTTCGACTCCACTATCCCCCAAACAGAAGTCGATCGCCTCTTTCGCAAGCTAGCCGATACAAGATTGCCTACCCAACCCATTGTACCTGATGCCGGCGAGGACTATGGACCATCACTCGAGTGGGTACAGACATTGTACAATCACTGGCTCAACAAGTTTGATTGGGGGAGAGCACAAAAGCAGATTAATGAGTGGAACCATTTTACGACTGAGATCGAGGAGTTAAAGATACATTTTATACATCAGAAGGTGGAGAGAAGGGATGCGGTGCCGTTGTTGTTGGTTCATGGGTGGCCAGGAACATGGTTTGAGTATGTCATTACTTCCTCTCTTTGATTACCGGCCCTACTGCTGATGTTATCTCATGGTATTGTCTTTGAGGATACTTGAGAGATCTGTCCTGTGGACTAACAAGAAGAGTGTAGGTTCCAGAACGTAATGCAACCCCTATTGAATCCTGAAAACGATACACAACCAGCTTTCGATCTCGTTGTCCCGTCGCTACCAGGGTATTGCTGGTCGCAAGGTCCACCGAGGGGACATACCTTGCAGGATACTGCGAGGTTGTTCGATGAGTTGATGAAGAGACTTGGTGTACGTTTTCCTCACTGTCTATGCCATACAACCGCACTCCTACTATGAGTTCTTCCATTGACGAACACCACCTCCAACAGTACACGTCCTACGCCGCCCAAGCCGGAGATTGGGGTCACTGGGTCGTCCGCGAACTTGGCTCTGGTCGGTATCCCAACTGCAAAGCAGTGCACACGAACATGTGTCCTGGCGCACCCCCAGAAGGCACTAGCCTAACGGAGAAAGAAAAGAAGGGGATAGCGAGAGCGGAGTGGTTTCTAGGGAAGCCGCTAAATGAGACGCATATGGGGTATGCGATTGAGATGAGAACACGACCGCAGACTATTGGCGTGGCCTTCAACGGTACGCCAGCGACCATGGTGTTTGAGTAATCGCAGGCTAACACAAGAAACACGACAGATAATCCCGTCGGGATCATGATGTTCTTTGGTGAAAAATACAATGAACTTGCTGATCCAAGTTTAGGCACAGCGACACTCGTTAACGAGCAGTGGCTACATGATCTTTGCACGACGCTTTCGTTGTATTTCTTCACGCCGCCAAGTGTCATGACGAGTACGTTTATCTTCTTTTCTGCTTCCTTCCTCGCCACATGCGCCGTGCTAACAAGCATACCACAGGTATGTTATCCTATTACAACAATGTGCGTCACGAAATGTACACCAAATTCGACGCCAAAGAAGAAAACCTGATCCGCGTGCCTCTGGGCGTGAGCACGTTTCCCTACGATGCTTTTCCTGCGCCCAAAAGTGGTGTCGAGACTACATGTACGGATCTGAAGTTTTTCAGAGGTATGTCATGTGTGCGATCGGCATCCCCAACGTGTTTCGTGTGGAATCAAATGAGATAGGATGAGATTTGATGAGGGATGATGGAAAGTTGGGATATGCTAACGGGCTTTACAGATCATGACCATGGAGGACATTTTGCATGCATGGAGTGTCCGGAGGAGATGGTGAGGGATATGAGAGAATTTTTCGGAAAATGGTACAAGGTCTGAAATTTGAATGTAATCAACAGCACGATGTGGTAAGCAGTCTGGTCGTACCTTGCCAACGCCTTTCGCTGAACTTACCCCATTCACAACCTCACTTGTAAGTCGTAGGGGCAAATTCAACACCCAATTCTTTAATCGTGTCCAAACAATGACCCAGCAAGACCTTCGCATTCGTTCTCTTCTGCAACCCCTTGATCATCTGATGACTCCTAACCCACGCATCGTGATCTCTTGCTAACCAGCCTTGTGGTATACTGTCCTGAAAGTTCTCCTTGACGTGATACTGATCACTCGTGAAGATCCAGGTCCCGCTTTCCTTCAAATTCACCTGCATGATCGTTAGTCCGGGTGTGTGTCCAGGTGCATGGTGCAAGTTGATGCCAGGAGCAATCTCATAGTATGCGCCATGGAAGGGAACCCAGTTGATATCGAAAGTAAGGTAATGAGGGAGGTAAACGCCAAGATCGGTCTTGGTAGCGACGCTATAGAAGGCGTGTTTGAGTTCGAGCTCATGAACGTGAACGGGTATGTTTTTGCCTCTAAAATGGTCTAGGCCGCCAGAATGATCGAGGTGCAAGTGCCCTATGATGACCATCTTGACGTCTTCAATCTTGTGGCCGGTCAAGGCGATTTGTTCGTCAAGATTCATAGACTTGTCGTAGTCGACTCGTGAGAAGACGTCTTGAACGTGTGTACCCGCGAGATTGGGGTAGTCTTCTCCACCGCCAGTTTCGTATAGGATGAGGCCTTCAGTCGGATGTTCGATAAGGATACCGAGCATGACAAGTCTGCGGCGCTTGTGTACGGGATTGGGGTTAGATAGGGAGGAGGCGTTTGCTGCACGGATGAACCAGCCATCATCACATTCGAGTATACCAAGATGGAGGATCTAAAGACAGTAGTGTTAGGGTGAGTGTAGTTGGTGAGGATGCCGCCAAGAGTCATACCCAGAGTTTAGTTCCCTGGATGTGGTCATTAGTTGTGTTCTCTGTCCCAAGAAGCTTTAGTCGCATACCACAGGAGCCTGATTGATCAAATCTAAGGATGCCATCACGGGTAGCCCTTTGTCCAGACACGTCCAGGTGAGGCATTCACTCTAGGTTTATGTGCTCTCGCGCCAATGTTTTTTACACAAGGTTCGCTGACTGCCAGTCGTGTGACGCTTGTCGCATGTTCCCCGCAGTTAGATATCGACACATAGCCACACACTGACGACACGCTGAAAAGCGATGAGGGGTAGCTACTTGCACGCCCCACGACTCACAGTTCTAGAGTGGGGCTTCTTTTGCGGCACCGGTTATCCGTTGGATAAATCTGGAAGTGAGAATGGACTTGGTTGGTCGAAGTTGAGAACGACATGTTCGTATTAGAGCCAGGCTACGATGACCGATGCAGACGAGTGATATCATAACGCGACCAACAGGACCGCCCACTGCTTACGTTAGTCGGAAAAAGGCGCTATCAGTCTGAGTCAGTCATCCAGATGGCGATAGCACAATTTAACCCAGCATCAGCATCAGTGGAGGCATGTGTGCTTGCATCGAGCCTGACGGTCGAGTGAGAAGGGCTTTACGGAGATATTCAGGGTGAAACAAGATTCTCTTCGATTTCTGATGGTCTTTCTGCATGTCTTGATCGTCAGGAATCAGACCCAGCAGAGGTTTGCTGCAATATGCGAACATAAGCGAGGTGTAGCCAGAAGTAAAACTCGCATATTGGCGGGTTTCGTATGAGTTCTATCATAGCTACGAGGCTCTCCGAGCCTCCGCGAAAAACGCTCATTGCTCTCAGGGCTCAGTACGACTGCTCAGTTCAACATGATATGTGTATACCTGGCGAAATACTTTGTGCTTTCTCTTGTTTCGACCAGAAGACGTACTGTTGGGGTACAAATATGCGCAGCATTTTGTGAGACTGGTACACTGGCCGAGCGTACTGGTGAGGGTTTGAGTGGCAGTATGCAAGGGAGGGAAACTAGAGAGCACCTTCCCCTTAAGGCGACCATAACGAGGACAGCCCTTGGTGTGTTGGGCTAGAGTACAGATTGCGTGGATGTCAGCGTGGTAAGCACGAGAACGCTGTGATTGCCTGTGCCACCCGAGTAAAGGGCGTGTTGTCTATCCAGCTCTTGCTCTGTTTGAGTCTGCGTCGTATGACAACTGATACGATAGCAGCTCAGCTAGAATATGACGTTGGGATTTGTTAGTCGGCATCCGCTTTGAGGAGCCATGACCGGAAAGTTTATTGACGCGTGGAACAGCGATCGTCGCCGGGGGTTTGGCTTTTGTGGGGTGTCGCGACGCTTCAGCGGGGCATATTGAGCGTGATTGCAGGAACAGAGGTGTCTACGCATCATGTCCCCAGAAAGCGCGCAGAGTGCAAAACCCAAGAGGTGTGAGGGCGCGATGCGGTGAGGGACAAAGAAATATGGGATGTCGTGGTTGAGGCAAGTACGGGCCGGTCAAGTGAGCAGGCGTCACCCTTCTACGGGGCGCGTTGAGCATCTGGGCAATCTCCGGCCGGCAACAAGTCTGGAGAAGGCATGCGACCCACGACCCGATTGATAGCGACGCCCCTTTTCCCCAGTCAAGTCAAGCCATGCCGGGATCTTTTTTGATCCCATAGTCGTCGCATAGGTCTTTGCTTTTCAATTGCACCATTTGTCCATAGCATTGACGTTGTTACTCTGTGCAAACATAGCCCGGCATACCTTCGCCGCTGCACTTTGGAAATCAGAGTCGCAGGTTGCCGTCTCGCCCACACCCTTTCATTTCCCTTCATTTCGCTTTGCCAGCCGCTATTCTCTCCAGGGACCGACTCTATGACCAGGACCTGCCTGCGCCTCACATGATGAGAGATGAGGCTGGAAACTCCGCTGGTCACGCCGCGGTGGAGACGTCCGAGGCCTCGAATCAGTTGTCGCCGGTTCCCTCGAATGCACACAGCATCTCGTCGACCAAGGGCCCCGCATCACGATCGTGGCTCACCAATGTCCGCCGACCACGCACTTCACCCGGACCTCGAGCTTTCTCCTTGAAGCGGACGCTACTGAACGAGGACGACGACCGCAGAGATTCGGCCTTAGCACCCTCCAATGGCACTACCACCAACGAACCGCCCTCACCTACTAGCCTGCGCAAGACGCCGAGTCTGCCTGCTATTGTAGTGCAGGATGAACGCTCCTCAGGTCCCAAGAGCCATGCGTCACAACGACGTTGCTCACTAGACGATGCCACACGCGAGCAAGAGGCCGAATTCCCTGGCCTAGACACGTACATTCCTACAGGCAGCTTCGACGACTTCTCTTCGGACGCGCAGATATCTTTCTCCAAGCGAGGCAGCATGATGTTGGGTGGCAAGAAGGTAAACAGGCGAAGCAAACAAATGGACCTCCTTGTGGAAGCCGCGCCCGCACCAAGCACACCACCGCGACAGAAGGAGCAGGCGCAACCAAATGAATCACCCAAGCAGGACCCTTCACCCTCACCCACACCCGCGACGAAGCACCTCTCACCGCGATCCACCTCACGTTACTCGACCCGCGCACGATCAACGAACCACCGAGTACTATCAGCCGATGAGATGACACTGTCGCGCAAAGTTCGCTGCATGTACATGCATGGCAACGAGAGTGCTGTCAATTGGGATACACCCGAGGAGGAGACAAGCAGTGTTCAGAACAGCTACCTGGGGAGCAGCGCTGTTACCAACACCCCAGCTAATGGTTCGTCGGTGCTCGTGGAAGGCAACGAGGACACAAGTTCACTCATAAGCTCACGACACGGGAGTGTGATAGTCAAAGAACCTACAGAGGCAGCCGGTGGACTCGAGGACTGGGCGGATCTTGACGGTGGAGAGGTCGACCGATACGGTTTCATCATACCTAAAAAGACAAAGTCGAAATCCGACGCCGACGGCCCAGACGGACCCGACGTGCCCCGCATGCAGCGAGTCACTACAACACTACAACTGCTGTCTGAAGAGCCTAGACGACGGCGTCTAGGGCGCAGCGCATCGAGAGCTCGCTCTACTCGTTCTGTAGACCCACGCTCAGGCTCACCTAAGCGGCGGCTTTCTGGCAAATCTTCAAGACCCGCCAGATCGATTTTCTCAGGTCGCACTTCAGATACGCACAGCAGTCACAGGCCCCTGCGACACGCGACAAACAGGTTACCCCATAATCGAGACCGCAGGCTGAGGGACGAGGCGAGTGACATGCTCAAGCTACCGCCCGGTCTAGCCGAGGTTGCGGAACAGCAAGAAGGAGGAAGGGCTGCACAGGCGATGAGAGCAAAGGAAATCGAGCGCAACGAAAAATGGCGTAAGATGGCCAAGGTTGTCAAAGCGGGGGCAGATAAGGGGGGCATGCTGTTTGAATTCGATACCAAAGACCCCAAGGTCATCTCTCGCACATGGAAGGGCATACCTGATCGCTGGAGGGCGACTGCGTGGTACTCATTCCTTGCTGCGAGTGCCAAAGCCGACGCAAATAGTCCAACAGAAGAGGAGCTCATCGAAAGCTTTTACGAACTCCAGCTGGAGAGCTCTGCAGAGGACGTGCAGATTGATGTTGATGTACCTCGCACTATCAACAGGCATATCATGTTTCGGCGGCGGTACCGTGGAGGCCAGCGACTTCTATTCCGCGTACTGCATGCGATGTCACTGTACTTGCCTGAAACTGGCTATGTCCAAGGCATGGCTGCACTAACCGCAACGCTTCTTTGCTATTACGAAGAGGACCGAGCTTTCGTCATGCTAGTGCGGTTGTGGCAGCTTCGAGGCATGGAAAGACTCTATGAAGCTGGTTTTGAAGGACTCATGGAGGCTCTAGATGACTTTGAGCTGAACTGGCTGTGCGGAGGTGATGTCGCAAAGAAGCTAGTAAGTCACTACTACTGGAGAGGCTGACGTCTTGGTGTGTGTGCTAATCAAACTCTTTTGTAGATTGATCTTGGCATTAGCTCGACCGCGTACGGTACCCGGTGGTACCTGACGCTGTTCAACTATTCGTTACCTTTCCCCGCTCAGCTACGCGTCTGGGACGTGTTCATGCTACTGGGCGACAAGTCTCATTCCAACTCGCCGACGTCCAAGTTCAGTGGAGATATGGATGTGTTACATGCTACATCGGCTGCGCTTATTGATGCGACGAGAGAGATCTTGCTGGACTCAGACTTCGAGAACGCGATGAAGGTGTTGACCTCTTGGATCCCTATTAAAGACGAAGAGCTGTTGATGCGCGTGGCGAAGGCTGAATACAAGATGCGGAAGAAGCGAGCCAATGCTTAAGGTAGGCTGGCGCTCCGGAATCCTGGAACTTGACACCGACCTGGCGGAAGCGCGCGATCTTGCAAGCGGGCGCGTTGCAAGTTGGAGCTTGGTACACCACCAAACACGGCATCACATCCAACCGAACATCTCTTCTTCCATACCATTTCCAGCAGCCAACGGTCGATCTTTTCCAGATGGGTGGCTTGCGATGGTGTTCCATCGGTCGCATGGCTATAACGTGGCTGGCACGTTTCCCAAGATTTGCGGCATCATGAATTTTGTTTTGTTTTTCCAGGCCATACCACCTACGCTTTCCAGGTTTTACCCGCGACACATCACTTCCTATTTGCCCTTTAGGCGTCTTTTAGTGGTGCAACGTGGATGACACCACCATCATCATAGTATGAGGAATGCCTGACTCGCCCACGTTTGGGCCACGTTTCTGCCAGGCATGCTTCGGGAGAGCATCCTTTGACCTGATGGTTGGGTTGTGTGCCGTGGTGGCACCTTTTCTTTTGTTACTTCTGAGGATAGCCTCAAACGTCGGCGCATGCATGGAATGCCTCTTCATCAAGATACCTCTTGCTTCCTTTTTCTTGTTTGCATTTTCACCGGTCGAACGATATAGGGAATATCGTCATCACATATATCCAGCATAATTCTGACTAAATGTAGTAATATAATAGTTAATCTCCCACAAGCATGGAAATTATCAGGCTAGTGACCAAATCGAAGAACATGTTCTCGAACATCAGAAGCTTCTGGAAGAGTAAGAGATTTGCAAACAATAATAACCCTTTCGTGCAAGATCAGCATGGCATCACTCATTTGTGACCAAGTATAAGTGATCATCGCTTCTTTGGCGGGTGACAGACAGCCGGCGGACGGACTGCGGCGACGGGTAACAGGGAGTATTGCTGGGTCGGTCGGATTGTGGCTCCACGTACGGGAAGGGAGAGAAACCAGGAAGGTGGACGGACGATCTTCCAAAGACGCGGGAACCTCTACAATAACAACCCAAGCAAGATTCAAAACTCGCAGGTGTAGCGGAGCACGTGATGAGTCTTTTCATATGGAAACCTAATAATTTTGGTAGACATCCCTCTTTCTAAGTCGATTACAAAAGGCCGAAGCCACACGGGTAGAGGAAAAGTGAGGCAGAGGTGCTGCATTCGGGCAATAACTCCAACCGACGCACAGCCTAATGGGTGGAAGAATACACGATCAACACTCATGCTGGGTGAGAATGTATTGCCCAAGAACGAGTGTGTGTATGCTGTGCCGGTAAAAATAGCCATGTGCACCGGGTAGAGTTGCGATGGCTCCCGATGAGGAAGTCACAGATGCCGATTTGGGTGGCGAACCATCGCTACCTCCTGCCTCGACTAGTATATTCGCCTCCCCACTACGCGTACACTTTGCCTCCCTCAACTACCGTCTTGTCACAAGTGGGCAACTGCCTCGACTATCTGCTTCCGTCCTGAGTTACAGTCGGCTACTCCGAACGGGAGGACAGCGTGTCGCGTCTTCGCTTTGCAGGTGCAAGAGCCGGTTTGATCAACGACGCTGATCTGTGGTCTGATTTTCTAAATGTGAAGCGAAGATCAGCAACATGTTCGCTCGATCTAGAAATCGACCATGTGTAGGTTGACACACCCTTCCCGCGACTACGCCACTTACTCCAGTCAACTTAGGAAAGGCAAGCGATGGCAGGGTGCAAGTTTTGTCGGAGGTTTACACCATGAAAGACTAGCCGGTGGGTAGTCATTCACATCTTGGTACACTAATCGGCTGACTAGCGACGGGTCCAATAGCCTACACAACGGAGACGACAGATCGTCCACGGTATTGCAGCTTACGTGCGTCTTGTGCAGTTTTCAGCGACTACCCGCCTGGCTCTGTCTTGTTGGCCGCAAGGCATCGCGATCATAGGGACTACTACACCGGCTCCTCTTGTCCACTGACTACTGCTGCAGGAGTGCGTTAGCACCAGCTTCGCGGCTAGCCCTCACTCCGACTCTCCGATAATGGCATCAGGCCACGATCCAGCAGAGCTAATGCCCGAACTTGAGTTGAACTGCATATGCTACTTCTGCTTTTATTCATCCCTACTGCAAGCCCCATCATTTCCACGATCGGAGACGCTTGGCTCTTCTTGCACAGCAGGAACAACATGCTTTGCCAGTGCATCGTTAGTTTAAGCCGCCATGCTAAGTCCCAACGTTTATCGGCCATCCCCAAGAATGTGCATGTTCTTTTGGATAGTCAACACATGCCTCAACGTTGACTACACCGACGTGGTTTAGCTGGAATCCTGGTATGTGGAGAGGAGGCTATACAAAATGGGTATCAAAAGCCATCCCTACACCCGGACCGTTGCCGGACCCTTTCCGCGTATTGTTTGAGGCACACATTGTCATCGGTTTCGCATACGCACCTTTACGACGTCCTGTCCAGAAGAAGCAGAACCGTTATGACAACATGATTACTGAACCCATTCCTACTCCTACATTACCAGTTCGGCAGTTTCAAGTCGAGAAATTGTCGAATTTGTCAAGACAACAGAGCTTTTTCTCCACAACCGTATCTCGTGCCCCAGAAGGACGACGTGTTGTCAACAGCAATTTCGCCATGGTATCCCCATTTCGACTGCTGTTATGATGCTAAGCAGCTCAAAATGAATTTGATTGGGCCTAAGGACTAGCCAGCCGGGGCCGGAAATCATACTCAAAGATCCTTCGTACAGATCCGGTGCGCCGCGAGTTTCACGTAGATCCGCTGCATGAGCAGGATAGGTATAGCTTACGCGCCGACGCGGAAATTTACGTTTCTAGTCGATCGTTCGAGCCAGCGCCAGGCGCTCGGGCATTGCGCAACGCCGCGTCTGTTAACCCGTCCCTTCCCAAGGATGGCTTGCGAGCTGTCATCTGCGTTGACATTACGGGCTATGGTGGGAACGCACCGTCAGTGCTGGCGTGTCGCTAATTGCACAAGCATACACACGGAGAGCAGCGCGCACGCGAGGATCAACACATTGGCTGCCTCTACGCGCATCTCCAGCACCCTCGGAGTGACACTCTCCCGGGTCTTCAAGGTTGCGTCGGCTCGATGATCGTTCCTCTTATCGATTGAGCATGCTGTCTGTCACGCTATGTAGATCCGGAGGGGTCCCCCAAGGCTGACAGGTTGAAGACGGTCCCTTGCTCCGTGCCACCATTGTGCTTTTCATCAAAGCACCCTCAGCCGTTGACGCTATGACGGCATGTGTATACTTGTTCGGGCATTACACTAAACTCGGAACAGGTTCTGCAACAGGGCCACAGGCTACATTTCCACCAATTCCAAGGTTTCGTCATGAAGCACGGCGGCTCTTAGAACACGAAAATCTCATTTCACGTTTCCACTTCGGGATATTACATGGCTGAGGTCTGACGATGGTGACGACCCTTCATTTCCTATCATGCGACCTGGACGAGCTAGGTTGAGCCAGTTCACAATCCGGGCAGCGGTAATCTTGCGCTCGCTTCCTCCCGGACGTTTGACCCTGCTGGCTGGTGTTAGCGCACGGCTCAGAATCCCAGGCCACGCCATCCAGTCCACATGCCTTGAGCCTCGCGTTCAGCCACAGGCACAGATACCATGAACCCAGCAGCGAAGGTGGTCCAGAGCAGAGCTGCACAACTAATTACCGAATGCGTGCCTGATGCCATTTTGCCTAGTCGAGGCATTGTAATCCAATTTGCGGTCATCAGCTGCGGCCTTACGACAGCAACATGCGAGCGGTCCAGTACGACCAGAATGATGCCGAAGTCTTCGGGCTCATTCGTTGTCATTGTACAGCACAAGCCGGTAGCACCTGGTGTGTCTGAGCTTCACTTTGTCTGCTCTACAGCATACGGGGGCCATGGGTTGATCGAGGCCAATGTGGAAGTATCCGCGACGCCAACTCTTTATGTCTAGCTTCAGGCCAATGTATTATCAAACTACCGTCGCTGCTTTCAAGCTGAACTTGCTTGGCTGGCAAACGGGACGTAAGTAGTTTTGCGGCAAATGCCAGCGCCACAAGTGGGAACCGCTACCAGAGTTTGCATCAGCCGGAGTCCTTCTCCAGGCGCGTCACATGGTGGGACTACAAGAACGCGCACTACCATTTCTAACAACATTGCACTTGCTGACAACCATCCCGTTTCATGCATATCCCTGCAAAGGTCCCCTCCCACCTTCGCCTGTCGAACGCCACATATCGCCCGTCATTGACGTACGGCCTGCCGTTTGCTCGTGCTACTCTCAAGCCTTTGCGGCCGTCACCCCCGTCGGTTGGTCCAATCCCAGTCGGCCCTCTTCCCTTCTCGTACACCATTCGCCACCGTTGCCCATTTTCACTTGCCTCTCTCCAATCTGGACTTGATCGACCACGCCGGCCCACGCGAGCTTCTACGGGGCTTGATCTTCGTTGCATGCAGCTTCGCCTGTTACTCTTCCTGTGCTCTTTGTCGCCCTGCTTTGGCCGCGAATCAAATCGGGGCTACTTTGCCAGGGACATATTAAGCCTAGGCCCTAAGGCAACGGCTACGATCCCATCCCGGGCCATTTGTGGATGGTGGTCCCGGTAAAACGTACTCTGGTGAATAAGTATGTACACTGTTCCTTCTCCTTCCGGACCTACGAGTTTTGGCGCCACCCAACGACTCATTTCAATGTTGAATTGCTCCTACCACATCTACCACACCGGCTCCACCTTCCTCCATGTTGCTCACACTCTCTAACCCGGTCAAGTCCGATTTCGAATTCAAACCCCATGCCTACTCACCAGCCTTCTCTTCTTCTTCCACGGCTGCTCGATACTCAAATAGGCATCATCGTGGGCTATCCCCACCTGCACAGGAAGTCAACTCCTCTCACAACATGGGCACACCTCACCGAGGACTTCCTCCTCCTTCGGCGATGACGCTACCAGATCCGGCTCGAGGACCTCCATCGATGTCGTCGTCATTAGGCCAGTTACCTCCAGCACCTTC